GAACATATCCTAGGGAGTGACAGTAGAAGGACGGGTGCGGTTATAATGATAAATATAAATAATAGAAATACAACTGCCATTGATACTGAGCGAGTTAACATTTACCTTCTTCTTCTACGGGTTGCTCTCCAAATTGTTCTGTTCATTATCACGTACCGCATGAATAGCCGATAGGTATTTTTATTTACATCTGATTTTAATGAGATTGTTGTACGTACAACTTATTATCCTTTACTTACAACTTATTATCTTGTCCGTACAACTTAATATCTTGTACATACAACTCATTATCTTGTACATACAACTTACTATCTTGTTCGTACAACTTAATATCTGGTTCGTACAACTTAATATCTTGTTCGTACAACTAAATATCTTGTTCGTACAACTTAATATCTTGTTCGTTTAACTTAATATATTGTACGTACAACTTAATATATTGTACGTACAACTTACTATCTTGTACGTACAACTTACTATCTTGTTCGTACAACTTAATATCTTGTTCGTACAACTTAATATCTTGTACGTACAACTTAATATCTTGTCCGTACAACTTAATATCTTGTTCTTACAAATTAATATATTGTACGTACAACTAAATATGTTGTACGTACAAATTACTATCTTGTCCGTACAACTTATTATCTTGTTCGTACAATTTAATATATTGTACGTACAACTTAATATCTTGTACGTAAAACCTATTATCCTTTGCTTACAACTTCAAACATTGTACGTAAAACTTATTATCCTTTACTTACAACTTAAAACATTGTACGTAAAACTTATTATCCTTTACTTACAACTTACTATCTTGTTCGTACAACTTAATATCTTGTACGTACAACTTAATATCTTGTACGTACAACTTAATATCTTGTTCGTACAACTTAATATCTTGTACGTACAACTTAATATCTTGTTCGTACAACTAAATATCTTGTACGTACAACTTAAAATATTGTACGTACAATTTACTATCCTTTACTTACAACTTGTTATCTTTACGTACAACTTATTATATTGTTTGTACAACTTAATATCTTGAATGTACAACTTAACATTTTGTACGTACAACTTATTATCCTTTACTTACAACTTATTATCTTGTACGTACAATTTAATATAATGTACGTACAACTTATTATCCTTTACTTACAACTTACAGCATAAGGACATAAAGTCATGAATCTGTGTTCAGAGATTAATGGGGCAGCTCAAGGGCCAATTTATGGATCCCTGTCCCGCTGAAAACAAAACGCTAGAGAAGTCCCACAAGCGTATGTTTTGTTGATGGTTGTCATAAGGTTTTATAGAAACCATTTTAAGTAATTCAGCTAAATTAAAACTTGTTGACCTTGTCCATCAGTTCCTCGGTGGATCAGCACCTCCATATGTACACTTCAACCAAATATAGTTGATTGGACTTCTCTAGTGGTTTGTGTTCAGCGGGACAGGGATCCATAAATTGGCCCTTGAGCTGCCCCATTCATCTCTGAACATAGATTCATGACTTATGAACTTAGCAGATGTGTTGACCCTAAACCATGAAAAATGTATAGGACTACCATAAAAGTATCACTCTCTCACCCTCCACTAAACTGCCAGGAACCAATCCCTGAAGTCTTCTTAGCATTATTATCAGATAATGTTCTTCTACTCCCCACACAACCTAAATAGCCAAGGTAGAGTACAAAATAATGTCGTTATGCTGTAATAGTAAAGGGCGAGGTAATGGACAGGTGGCTTAGGATCAGTAGCTGACACCTGGTAAGGCAGTTCCCGTGATCATCAGGTACTCATATTGAAGTGATGTACTCATAGTATGAATTATATATCTGTGTATTACAAAGAACCTTAGGCTGCCCGTCAAATGTTGTGGGATGAATAAATAGCATAGCTTTGCTTACATAATTGTCTAATTTGATGATGTATATTATAAAACAATTGTGTACATCTGTACCAGTACCTACAGGTAATTACTGACCACAGGAATTGTTGCAATGCCAACATGATACTGTATACTCCGACATTTTTGCCTTTTTCGCCCTTCCTAAATTGAAGGCAAACTTGTCATGCCAGCAAACACATGTAAACAAATTAGTATACTGTACATTAAATGTGAAGGGCGAAATAAAAACTGGGTTTCACCGGCAAAGGGCGAAAGCTTGACTGGGCGAAAATGTCCTGGTATACCGTAGCTCGTGGATATTGAAAATAAATGAAAAATTACTTTAAATAATTATTTCAGTTAAAATCAAACAAAACGCATACAAAATTAAGATTTAACAAATTTATTACTTTGTAGAGACATTTCTGACACTTGTTCTTTTACAGAAAAAAACATGCATGCTAAAAATACAGAAATTTAAAGAGAACTTGTATATAGCGATTCTTTGTTCTGATGTAAACCTGCATCACAGTGTTGAGTGGTGTGTGCCAGTGTAACTATATACCGGTCAGACAGGTATGTGTTTCCGGCTTGATTTATCCCATATTCACCAAAATAATATGACATGCTCCTACTCAAGGCATTCTTTGTTCACAGGTTTCCACAATAGGTGAATTAAATGATAAAAGCAGCTTACACATGAACCTATGTTTCTGTGATGCTGTGGTGACCCTAGCACTAATAGTAATACCCAGCCTCCTGTCTCGTTGTCAGGAGCTACAGCTGTGGCGACCCTAGTACTAATAGTAATACCCAGCCTCCTGTCTCGTCGTCAGGAGCCTAAGCTGTGGCGACCCTAGTACTAATAGTAATACCCAGCCTCCTGTCTCGTTGTCAGGAGCTACAGCTGTGGCGACCCTAGAACTAATAGTAATACCCAGCCTCCTGTCTCGTCGTCAGGAGCAACAGCTGTGGCGACCCTAGTACTAATAGTAATTCCCAGCCTCCTGTCTTGTCGTCAGGAGCTACAGCTGTGGCGACCCTAGTACTAATAGTAATACCCAGCCTCCTGTCTCGTCGTCAGGAGCCTAAGCTGTGGCGACCCTAGTACTAATAGTAATACCCATACTCCTGTCTAGTCGTCAGGAGCTACAGCTGTGGCGACCCAAGTCCTAATCGTAATACCCAGCCTCCTGTCTCGTCGTCAGGAGCAACAGCTGTGGTGACCCTAGTACTAATATTAATACCCAGCCTCCTGTCTAGTCGTCAGGAGCTACAGCTGTGGCGACCCTAGTACTAATAGTAATACCCAGCCTCCTGTCTGGTCGTAAGGAGCTACAGCTGTGGTGACCCTGGTTCAAAGTTTACCACTGTACAGTTTTAAGCTGTGAGTGACCTTCCTCTGTCAGTACTGTCTGTAACTGTCCAATAGAGTAGCATCTCTAAAAGTAATTATAATGACTTCAAAAAGTTAATTCCATGAAGTAAGAGGATAGTAAGGATGATGAACGTTCACTTAACCAGATTTCTGTCTATTCATGATCCCACACCAGTGATAGTTAACTTAGGGAAGCTTGGGTTGGTTTGGTTTGGTTTGTTTGCTCTTTACATCCTATTAACAGCTATGGTCATTTAAACCAGTACCAGGTTATGGTGGTGGAGGAAAACCAGAACACCTGGGGAAAAACCACAGACCTGCGGCCAGTACCTGCCCCACGTAGGCCTCAGACCCGCAACCCAGTGGTGGAGGGCTAGTGATCGCAGATGGTCAGACGCCTTAACCACTCAGCCACCGCAACCCTATGGAAACTTTAACCGAGCAAATATTTTAGACTTGATTCTTTCTCTCTCTATGTATTTTGCACAAATTAACATTTCTGTGACATGATTGGGATTATTTTATTGCTCCAAGTTTAGCTGTGACACGATTGGGATTATTTTATTGCTCCAAGTTCAGCTGTGACACGATTGGGATTATTTCATTGCTCCAAGTTTAGCAAATCACCTGAAATAGAGCGTTGGCAGTATGATAAACATTGATTGTTTTTGTGTCTTGATGTGGTGGATCTACTCGGTCAAACTGTCTCCTAAATATGATGAGGAATATTCATACTTATCAGCATGTTCTGTGGGATGTCAGGTCTTCATGAACCCTATAGACGACCTTGTGTGAGTCTAGGACTTCTAACAAAGTCTTTATTACAATGGCTTATACTTTTATAGTAGACAGGCATCAAGTTTTGGGATAAGTTCCTCTCACTTAACACGATGTATACAGTTGTAAACTTAAAAAATACATTTGATATATATATAACAACTATTTTATTTTCATAATCATCCTTTTTTACTCGGGGTTCTGAATCAAGCTTCCAAAATATGATTATGATCAGAAGTTAAAAACAGAAGTTCTCAACTCTTTGTTTATATAATAGTGTATACAATATATAAAAAGAGAGAAATACAAGCCAAGAACAAGCAACAATTTGGTACAAGTAATGAAATTCATCAAATCTCTAATCCCTTTTCCTTTATCGGGCCCACGTAATTTGTAAAATGTTGCATCCCCATTGCCCAGGGAACTTTTTTGCCAAATTAGATTAAAATGCTTTCATTCCAACAGAAGGCGTAGACTTTATATATTTTCCTCTATTTCCTCTAATGGGCTTGCAACCTTGCCATCAAAACTTTATCAAAATCTGGCTTTACATGAAACTTGACATAAGGACGAGAGAAGCCATACAATTGCTTGAAGCTTGCTGGGCCCTTTCAGAAGCCGAACTAAAAATTATATCTGTTATAGCTCAAAATTAATTATCAGTATAATTCTATGTAAAGTATATTGCTTGGTATACATATTACAAAACCTTATATATTTAAGTATCAAGAATACTAGCCAATCTATGGAAACTACAATGAGCATTTACATGACAGAGTTATTTCCCTTGCACCAATAACAGCACTGATTATATACCACTGTAGAATATGTTACGAGCTTATGATCAAAGATATTTGTGCCGGTATAGAGTCTTCTTCATGTTTTAATACAAAAAGTACATTTTCAATTATTATTCATACAGTACATTATTTACATTTTAAAAGATTGGGGGTATTACAAAGTTGTTTTTTTAAAGTAATATGGCCCCATACAGAGTTAAAACAAAACATATTTATATAAATAATCTAGGCCTGATGCAATCTCAATAATTTGTCTTGTTTATTCTTAAATAATTTGGTTGACATTCTTATCATTACCATCTGGTCAGTTAAGTGTTCATAGACACAAAAACCAGGTAAATTATTTAAGGACCATAAAATATTGAAGACTTACACTGATTATCACATGATCAATCACCAAATAATCTATCCTGTGTGTTCAAGCCGTCTATTATAACTTTACATGTCAAATGGAGATAACTCACACACCTGTCTATAGCATTATGTATCATCTCTTTCCCGAAATATGATTTACACACTCCAAACTTTTCATTTACATTTTTTTTCCAAAAATAAAACAAACCTGTTAAAGGTTATACAATAAGAAAAGAAATATTGAAAACACAATGTATGCATTCAACCACAGTTCAGTCTCGCCATATCAACATTGGGAGGTAGACATGGCACCATTACTTGGCAGTTACACAGGTGATGCTAGGGTTTGACATGGCCTGCATATCAATTACAATTTTATCATATGACATCCCTTCTTCTTATTGTGTTACACATTTCACATACAGAGTGGTTCTGATCAAGCCACAAAATCAGGGCAAAGAGAACAAAAACTATGTAAATATATATATTGTTAGTAACATTGCGACTTCAGGTCACCAAAGTCCATTAAAAATATACATCTCAGCAAAAATAGGTCGCTTTTATTGTATCTACCAGTGCTAGTAGACCTCACTCATCAAATTACTTACTACATTTCTTGTAATGAACCGAGATAGCTAAATAAAATACAAAGAGGAGAATATTCGAGGCTATCTCGTGCATTTTGACATCCTTCGGAGTTCTATTTTAATGGCTGTATCAGGACCACGAAATTTCTATGCATGGTTCCAGTGCGAGTCTAATCCTATATATGTTAGGGACCAATGGTTAACCTCAAAATCCTATAAACACTTATTAAGCTTTATGTTTATCATTATCATTTCTAATTTTCTTTACTAGTGTTGTTTAGGGAAAGTTCAGGAATACATTTATACCAAATAAATTACTTTACCACTTTTAACACTTAAATAATGAAATATTGCCAGCAGGAGGCCTTCATCAGGAGTTTTACAATTCAGGTTCAGGTCTTCTACCTATCACATTCCAAAATGATAGACACAGAAAACCCCCAGAACTGCTTATAGACAGAGCGGACTGTCAAGGCAGATGGTTTCCATTGCTGTTTTACTATGTATTTAAAGAAAGAATATTAAGGTAGGTAACTGTACCTGATTTGTGGTCTTTCATGATCAAGTTTTACTTCACCGCGAATATCAGATATGAAAAACCATAATACATATTGTAAAAATTATGTGTTAAAGCAAAAATAGCATTTTCACCGTATTCCACTGTTACAGTATGTGATGCTGGCTGAAACAGTGGAATGATGGTTGTCCTCGCTTGTTAATACATAGCTTGTAGACTCAGAATACATCACATCTCAGCTGTGGCATTGTGTGCAAGCGGCAGTCACCTCAACAATAAGAACATTACAGTATTGCTGTTAGACTTCATACAGTCCAGCGTTTGATACAGCTATCCGAGCCAGTGGTGAGAATTGTTTTAGGGTCTAACCATACTAGTCTTGTGATATTACTCAAGGCATGAGCTCCTACAAGTAACAAAAAACATAGATACAGATCTCCTACAACATACAAGTGTACATATAATAGGGGGCATTAATAAGACTAAAATCATAACAACAAAAGAATTGGGAATCGGAGAGATACATCACCTGTAGTAAAGTGTGATCATTTAATGCTTTAACCTGAAAAGATGAAAACCAAAATCTAATCAGGTGTACACGTAGACCTTCATGATACCACGTCTCTGTGTAATAAAAACTAAATATTTTGAAGGGTTTGCGAAATATCTTGTGCATAAGCTTTTCAAAACTGGTCAAGTGTGACTTTTGACCACCGAAATCCAATCAGGTGTAACACGTGATCTTACTATATATACGTAAATATAAATTAAATATGTTCTGGGGTCATGAGATATCTTGTACACAATCATTTTACTACAGGGGGATGATTGGCCAATTAGCTTTTGATCATTTGACCTAGACTGATGACCACCAACATTTAATCAGGTGTAAAACTCAATGGTATCATACAATAGTGTAAATATAAATTAAACTTGCTGAGGGGTCCATGACATATCTTGTACTTTTTTTTACTGTAGATGGATGTAATAACAAAGCAATTACTCCATACATACCCTTTTTAACCAAGTGGGGGTTGAACCAGAAAACATTTATATAGCAACCATATATTGCTGTTCTCCTACAATCACCATTTGTGCCAATCACTCAAAAATAACAACAACAACTCATCTATAAATTGCAGCGGGGCGCCCACGCTGCGTACTGAGGAGTGGAAACGACAAACACTGAAAAAAATAGGNGGGGGGGGGGGGGGGGGGGGGGGGGGGGGGGGAGTTTTTATCATATATATTTCTCCTACTATCATAAGTCCTGAGAATAGAAATACAAAAGGTTTGTTGACTATACTTACCTAAGTACTGTGTCGAATTATCAAACGAGTCCTTCTTTGTTGCATCCCAGATGATGAAGCTATTGTCTAGACTCCCAGTTGCATACCTGGTGGAGTCTGGACTCCACGACACACAGTTTACCCGCGCTGTGTGTTTGCTGTTTTCATACTTCAGCTAAAAATGAAATGTTATATTTTATGTAAAGCTTCTTTTCCAGGTAAAAATTTTCAGAACATTTTCAGAATTAAACAGCTTTACCATCACATTGCGGCAGTGTTAGTCTAACCTGTATCATCCACCAGACGGTGCCTACCAAGCCTTCAATTTCATCACGACATAGTCTAGGGGTGCAGAGAACGAAAGGGAGTGTAACTCCTGGAATTTTGAGGATGAACAACTTTGTGACACATTTGAGCAGAAGAATTTCAAACTTGTTCCTACTTAATATGGCATTTCTTGGTTATAAAATTACACTGTGCTAGAGTCTTCAGAGTGCTGGACAGAATATCCATACAATGTTAAATTACCTTGTACTCGGGAAGCTCATAGCAGCGGACGAATCGGTCAGTACCACTTGAAGTCAGGAAGCGTCCATCTGGGGAGTAGGTCAAGTCTGTGATATCACCGGTGGTTTTGATTTTATTTGTCTCGGTCAGTGTCCCTCCACTCAGATTATATATGTGAATGGTATTGTCCTGGTCAAACATAAGAAATAGAAATAGCCCAAATATTATTGAAGTTTGATTACAGATATCGTTAAATTGTTCCTATTTATTTACACAATCAATAACCCAGTGTTGATTTGACTAAATTTTAAAAGAAAAATCACATGGAACAGGAAGATACTGAAATCGAGGCTGATAAAGGGGGATAATTCAGGAAACATACAAAAAAGGAGAATTTTACATAAACAATATATGTTTTCAACTAACAGCAGGTCTGTGTTAATAACAAATCTTTTTATCAACTCCGTTTCTATCAGTTGTACAAATATTTAGATGTAACCCAGACCTGTTCACATCTAAAAAATAATCTATTTTACCTGAAATGACAATTTTTTCACCATCTTTAATGTTTGGGGAATTCCAAAGCATCAGGATATCCCATCTTCTGCTTTATATTTCTTGTAATGGACTATAATATTTACAGCATTTCTGACACAATAACAATACCTGGTTATATCCTTTCCGATCCTTTGAAACTTTAACAGTAGATCAAATAGAATGCAATAGAAGAGGGCTTGTATCGCTCACATATCTAAGCAATCATGGCAAAATATTCTCCAAAAAAGATCCCAGGGATAGGCCCAGACCCCAAGGCCAATCTTTGTAGCATATCTGTATTTGATTTTTCATGTCCAGTAATTGTATGTATGGTATTGGGGTGGAGATCTCAACTGTTTCCAAGTTATGACTCAGAAAGTAGGTCCTTAGGGTTGTGGCCAGACCCCAGGGTCAATTTTAATATCATGACTGCATTCATCTCTTTATGCCAAACAATTGTATTTTTAGTTTTGGGGTGGGGATCTCAACTGTTTCAAAGTTATGACCCAGGGGTTAAGTCTGCAAGGGTGGGGCAGACCTCCTAGGGATGCTTCCAACAATATATAGTTGATATCCATCATTTGGTTTCAGAGAAGAAGTCGCTTAAAGCAATATGGCCTAGTTACCCTTTTTGAACCCATCCCTCAGCCCCTTGGTATGTCAACCCTACCATTTGTACAATTTTGAATCCCCAACACTTGGGGATGCTTCCAGCCAAATTTAAATTCCAATCAGCGGTTGGTTAAGAAGTTGTTTGAAGAAATTGTTGACGGACAGATGACGAACGGACACCACAGTATGGCAGAAGTTCACCTTGGTCCTTCGGACCAGGTGAGCTAATAAATTCTGCAAATAATTAAATTAGACAAAAACTGACATACTGGCCAACTTCTACCATAATTTCTACACATTTACACAACGCTACAGCCTACAGACAGGAGGTGGTGGCAGACATTAGCAGTAGGAAGCCATCAATTGATACCTATCCTTTGAATATCACTGAGGAGTGACACCTGACTTCAAAGCCAGTAAATTGTATCGTTACCCTACCGCGAAATTCTTTTGATGAACATCAAAGCATCAATCTAGTCTTCTTGTCTCATCCACTTGTCACACTGAACCTTCGATTTGTCGTGACATATTCCAGGGGTGCAGAGAGCAGAGTGACTGTAATCCCTCGACTTTCCAGGATGCCTGTAGTCGAACATGTTAAGACTACGGACAGAAGTCAAGAGCCTAGACGATTATGATAACTGATTCAGATGTGTGTGTGTGTAACAGATGTAGGGTCTGAAAAGCCATTCATATTTAATGGCGAAACAGTGCACTGAGGCTGAGGTCAATTTGAAGTGCCAGCAGTATGGAACATTCTGTTGTTGGTCTAGGTCTAGGTCACATGACACTATCTCAACGTCTAGGTCATATAACACCATCCCAAAGTCTAGGGTAACATGACACTGTCTCAAAGTCTAGGTCACATGACACCATCTCAAAGTCTAGGTCACATGACACTGTCTCAAAGTCTAGGTCACATGACACTGTTTCAAAATCTAGGTCACATGACACTGTCTCAAAGTCTAGGTCACATGACACTGTCTCAAAGTCTAGGTCACATGACACTGTCTCAAAGCCTAGGTCACATGACACTGTCTGAAAGCCTAGGTCACATGACATCATCTCAAAGTCTAGGTCACATGACACCATCTCAAAGATTATCATTCTCCAGTGGTTGACAAGTTGACATGAGTTCAAAGTAAGCAAACTGAAAGCTACCAACTCTGGTAATTTTCTTCGTGGGATGACTATATTTTAAAATTAACTTATTTATACAATATATTACCTTTGATCCAGCAATAGCTACGTCTGTCCCGTTGCTTTGGAGACCGACAGCTTTAGGTTCATAAGGCACATTTTGGACAAACTTCTTCTCTTTTTGATCAAACACAACAACCTGGAAAGTACAAAATCTTGAGTTGTCATTTTATACACATGTAAGTTTCACCATTTAAATGATTACATCAGACGTAAAATTGTTATGAAAGTTGCCTAGATAATCAAACTCTTCCTGTAGAAGGATTATATTTACATTAAAACATGTTCATCCTCACTCTCACCGTACATCACTCCTCAACAACAAATGCCAAACAGTCTAAACAGCATTACCTTAGAAAAGCTGGTTAGTTAAAAGATTTTAAAACATTTGACCCCTGTGACTTATGAACGGCTAAGTATCAATGAATTTCAACAACTTTCAATCTAGCAACCTATAATATATAGTTATGTAAATGTAGCTATTATCCTGACCCTATGCCATATAAAGAAATATTCGACATCTTTTTTGTCCTGTATGCTCATTGGTTGAATTATAATCAAGGTAAGTAACTGGTGAACTGACTCTGTGTTCTTATTTCTAGAAAATAACAGAACAATATTCACTTTATGATGTCACTGTAACATAACAATATTATTGATCTCTGCCAGTACCTTTCTCTGGATGATTAATTATCCTCCATTTTGTTCAATGATAAAAGCATAATAATTTCATATCTTAATAAAACAATTAAGATCTTTATTTCAGTGAATATATGTTATATGGACCTGAAAAGCGATATGAAACTCAACTTCATTTCAATCAATATTGCTTTCTCATGTCCATATATTATTATATATTCACCTCGTCAGCAGTTCATAATTGATAAATATGCATTTTTTTTAGATTTAAATGAAAATGATAATGGTGCTTGAATATTTATTACCTAATTATTACTCAGAACTAAAAGGAAAGTAATTAGGAGAGAGAAACAGGACTCACCTGTCCTAAGCATAACGCCACTGTTGTGCCCGACTTGGAGGCCACTGCCTGAGGTTGAGAATCTAACTTTGTAAAATCAGAGCTGAAAAGATCAACAAATAGTATTTATTATAGGTGTAGTGTATACTCTATTTATAGTAACGGTATATAGGTGTAGTGTATACTCTATTTATAGTAACGGTATAAAGGTGTAGTGTATACTCTATAGTAACAGTATATAGGTGTAGTGTATACTCTATTTATAGTAACGGTATATAGGTGTAGTGTATACTCTATTCACTAAAATGATAAGTACGCTCTGTTAAAATGTATTTCCATATAATGCCTATCTGGGCAGTCTGGAAATATACGTGATTAAAATTTGGTTCAATATCATTATAGATATCCATTTCAATCTATTAATTTGCATTTAAACAAACAATGAACAGTCTAATATATCTGTCTGGGTGGGTTATTTTGGTATTTAAAGATAAATTCTAAAAAAACTTGTTTACTATATGATGAAACAGACCCTTTTTTGCAGGAACAAAGTTGTGTTTCCTTTGGTTACATTTTCTGTGCCAGGTACAAACGTCAGCCATAAACAATTAAAGATTCAATCTAATGTTCCAATATGACAGTTCCCTATTACTTTTACAATATAACGGGAAGACCAAGAAACAGCTTTCGCTAATTATTTTTTCCAAACGTTATCTCACCTTCCTTATATTCCACCATAATACATACAGGCCAGTATGCTTCTTATTTCTACCATGCTGTCTGTGTGTAAGAGGTGAGTTATACAGAGGTGGTATTGTTTACATGTATTTATAGGAGTACATTTACACAGAGTCTACATACAGGTGAGTAATACAGAGGTGGTATTGTCTACATGTATTAATAAGAGTACATTTACACAAAGCCTACGAACGGGTATTGTTTACTTTGAGTAAGTATACGTACAGGTATTGTTTACGGGTATTGTTTACTTTGAGTAAGTATACGAACAGGTTTTGTTTACTTTGAGTAAGCATATGTATGGGTATTGTTTACTTTGAGTTAGTATACGTACAGGTATTGTTAACTTTGAGTTAGTATACGTACGGGTATTGTTTAATTTGAGTTAGTATACGTACAGGTATTGTTTACTTTGAGTAAGTATCTGTATGGGTATTGTTTACTTTGAGTTAGTATACGTACGGGTATTGTTTACTTTGAGTTAGTATATGTACAGGTATTGTTTACTTTGAGTTAGTATATGTACAGGTATTGTTTACTTTGAGTTAGTATACGTAC